CACGAGGACCTCATCTCCCCAGATGCGCTACACTGGAGCCCGCTGCCCGGCCCCCAACAGTCCCTGTTCCTGCATTTCCAGGCCTCTTGGGCCTTGGTCTGCGGGGCCCCTTTCCCACCCTGGAAGGTAATGCCCGGAACAGGTCTTGCAGGCCAATGCACGGAAGACAACCATGGTCGTAGCCGATCATCTGACCTATCGCGCCGTGCCTCTGTCGACCACTCGTCGTCGTCGTTCCACTATTGCACCGTTGTGTGATTGCCTTTCCGGCGCGTAAGGTAACGAAGCTGATGACGCCTCTCTCTCGAGCGAGAAGCTCATGGTGACTCCATAGGTAAGGTAGGATTACAGAGCATCCGATCAAACCCGGAACAATGGGCGCAGGCAAGGCACACGGCATGTCGCTAGTGATCAATGACGCACAACAATCAAGCAGGAAAGTTTTGGATCGTCGCACCAGTCCAGTCGCTGGACCTTTGATGAGTCTATTCCAGGATGCGTTTCGAAGTCGAGTCAATTCGGCTTCGACCAGGACCGTCCCATCTCGATCAGCACATCAAACAACATGTGAAGCCAACTCTGTTCCCCCCTTTCCGCTTTTAGCCTGAGCCGGCCCTGAGAAGCACTGACAAAGCATCGTGGCGCAGCATGCACAACCTGGCTACATACCGTTTGCACAAACTTCGCCGTAAAGCCATGCTTCCACCGTATTGTTCCTTTGGTGCCCCAATTTGGTCTCAGTACTTCGTCTGATTGATATCTGAATGGCAGAAAAAAAGAAAAAATCTATGTCGCCAATCGGATGAAAGCACATAGCGAACTGTACATCTCGATACGCAGCCTATGTTTCACAGCCGTGCCCGCCCTCTATCATGTACTGAGCCAGTGTTTGCTTAGATGTGATCGTTATGTACTGAGGCCGAATTCGGGCACGAAATGGATTATACGATAGCTTGAATCACGAAACCACAGCGAAGCTCATCTAGGTGTTGACGTCTGGTCTTTAGCCTTTGAGACTGCTGCGCGCAAATCCATGTGAAGTCAAACGGCAGCTTTTCATGTCGGACGGAGATGCGCAGGCTGGCATTAACACAATGACTAGCATCAATAATCAGCTGCAGGTGTCGACAGACTGCAGGGTCTCTTGCAGGCGGCTTCAATGTGCCCTCGCTACTTGCAACGATAGTAGACTGGCCCTTGGCTGCCAGCCTGCCTACCTTTGCGGATCGCATACATTCACATCTAGAGAGGCAGAAACAAGGCTCAGCCGTGTGTTTCGGCGGACAGATACGTAGCGCGCGCCGCCCAGGATGGCTCATACTGAGGAAGGTTATATCTCCTCCGCAAGGCTCCGAAGACTCCCCACTTCCATTCTCACCGCCAACTAGTCCGCACCATGACAATCCTCTAATTCTGTCCAGATACTGGATAGGGAAGAGGATGAAAAGGCTTCTGTGATTAGCGATACCGGTGGATGTCCTATCACCACGACATTCCAAACTATGTTTTCAAATCCCAGCACATGGGATCGTCACGGCGACTTGACACTCGACATCAGTATCTACTCGCCTAGCGACTCGCGGCACTGTTAAATATCTGGTCTTTGTACCCGAACTCCTCTGTATCTACCAGTTGATTGTCGCACAGAGAAGGCAATGTCAAACGGAGACTACCATGACCCTCAACATGGTTGAGTTGCCGGTTCTCGATAATTTGCCCTGCCTCCATCTGCTGTCAATAAAGTATTCCATTCAGTGATGGATGAGGTTCCATCTGATGATGCCGAGTCAGAACTTCAATGGTGGGATCAACTCACATCTATCCCAGCAGTAACTAGTCTACTTCTCCGGCAACAGAACCGCAGCAAGTCCACTACGAGCTCTGGAGGGAACAAAACTTTATACAACGCGAAATAGACAGGTGAGCATGACTGCATTGGCTTCCCTCTCTTTTCAACTACTACTCGCTCTATATTTTATAGACACTCCTTCACGCATAATCCTTCTGACCTATCTAGGTAACCAGGACCTGTTCAAGTCTATCCAACGTTCCAACAGTAGTCTTACAAGACTCGTGGTCTTCGAGAACTTCAATCAACAGTACCCATGTTTTATGCAGCGATTCCAGGAAGGAGTCAAACTGAGCAGATGCGACACAATCCGCAAACCTAGTCCAGGTTGGTAGCCAGTCGGTCGTACTTACTCACTAGCCTTAAGCTTAGGCATCTCGCAGCATCTTTCGAGGTGGACGCCAGCTACTTCTTCGAGATTCAACCCTCTTGGGAGTGACCAAACCTGCTATCGCTGGTTCTCACTTCAAAATCACTCACACCCGACGAGAATCTGACAGATTTGAACGTTGTACTTCAGGCAGCCGCGTTAGCAGCTATGAAGATGCCTCGTTTGGAAACGATGGAGATTTGGAACGGACGAAAGGGCTTTGCAGCGCTCTTTCGGTATCAGGCGCTCCGCAACGTACAGCAAGCCGTAGTTTTGTTGAGAGGCACATGGGATTTGGTAATGGAACCGCCTGTGATCCAGGCTTGGGAAGCTGTGATGGATCAGTTTGGTGGACGGAGACTCGATGTAGTCCAGGAACGGCTGGATAAAACTGCTAGTAAGTCTCACGGTGATGCGCTTTCTTGTCTGATGCTTTCAGGCCAGGTCATTCGGCCCATCTCACTGCAGCAGATTCAAATGGAACAGAAAGCTTTCGAGGAGGTATCCACTATACAGCATCGATCAAAACAAATCATAGCCGTAAAGTATAGCTTAGCCAGGAGCTAGTGATGAAACAAAAATAGCAGTGTGTATTATACATGGCAGACCTGGTATAAAGCAGGATGGCAGGCCGCTCTCCCCAAATCCAAGTTGCTGTGTCGCGTAGAAGACATCGATACAGAAGATCTAAAGAAGTACAAGCAAGGTACGAGCTGCCGAAGTAGTCACGTGCTTTTTCACGTGCACCATAGTTCCATCCTCCGTCCGTCCTATGTCCAGCGTGAGCCTCTGATCCTGCTTGGTCCCTGCAGTTCTGGGCGTTACCGGAGCTTTCGATCCATCACTGCGCCTAGCTCGGCTTGGTCCAGGGGCGTCCTGTCTAAGACTGGATATGGCGGAAGGAGATGGCGTCGGTTGAGAACTTGATGCGTACACTCAAGATGGGGTGGTGCTGGTTGACGATGGCAGGACGGGCCGCAGGGTTCCATTCTAAACGGTTCGCACCATTCGAAACGACCGTTTCTATTGACCGATTTGTGCACCGCAGCACATGTTGCATAACGCCTTGATTCGTAGTGTTGTATTGAGCGCGGCGTGGCTGAGCTTTGGCTGCCAGAGCAAGTGTAATGAATACGCCAGTCCTAATCAGGACAGCATACCACGTAGCACCCAAGGCAAACCCTGGAACCCAGACACCGATGCGGAGGCCGTGGAATGTGGCCAAGATCAAAACAGACAAACAGCATGCATCGCCATCGCGTATCAATGCCAGCTTCTGGACCCAGACAAATCGCTGTTGAATGATCGACGTCTGCTACGTCTGCTACGTCTTGAACCAGGAGCCAAAGGATCACAATCGTCCCTGGCAGCAGGTGAGACCTGATGAGGGTCGTGTTATACCCCATGACTCGACATGATAGGGAGGGACGCGCGATCTCGCCCTCACAGCCACATCGATTGCGCATTACCTGACTGCCGAGTCATCCCGGCAACGACGGCCCTTCATCGAACACAGCACCACATCGTTGCATCGGCTATTGGAATCCTCCAGGCCCGGCGGAGGCATTTTGTCGCCGGGCCCTTTGCTTCGTTACCACCCAGTGCTGCTGTGCCGCGCTTAGTTTTGTCGCAGCCGCTTTTTCCATCTCGGTCACCGTCCTGGGACACCGCTAGCCTGTGGCGCGGCTGTGCCTCCCCCTCCTGTACACCATCGAACGCATAAGCCGGCAACACCCCAAGGTGCCAAGCCATAGTGGCGAGAGCGCGGTCGAAAGGAGTGTCCCTGGTTCGGTCATCGGCGTCATGAATCAAGATTCATCGGTCAGATAGTCATCGGCCGTTCAGGCAGAGGGCGCAGGTAGGACGCAACGTACGACACCGCGTCGAACGCCCTCAGCCTCCTCGCGCAGTTGGGTGACAATGGCTCCCTTGCCTCGCGCCTTCGCGATGAAGTCGTCCAGTGAGCCTCCAAACGCCAAAGTAGAGGCCGCTTTGCTCCGACGAGGGCTTGACACTTGCAGCCGGCGCGCTCCGCCTTCTCCCTGGAAAGTATAGCCAAGACCATCTCGTTGAAGGCATCGAGCGCAAACGGCGAGTAGATCGTCTCGGCACCGATGAGCAAGCTGTCAAATTCGCCGTTGGCCGAATAGCTCGCGACGTCCGAGCCGTAAAGTAGCTCGACAAGTTCCTGTGACCACCCTCCGGACAAGAAGCTTAGAGAGATGTTGGACGATGCCAAGAAGGACTCAAAGGCGGCAATGACCTCCGGCGTCAACTCGAGCTCGCCCTCTTCGTAGAACGCGGTCTCGAGGACGGGCGTGGCGGTCTTCCGTGCCAGAGCCCAGGTGAGAATGAAGTTGGGCAGCGTCACGAGTTGCAGCACAGAAGGGTTGTAGTCTGCCAGGACTATGGAAAGTGGCGAGTCGACAGATGATGTGACGGCCGCGCTTCTGAACACTGCGAGCGAAGGCAGGGCCGTGCCGCATCCAAGCTATTCTCTTGGTCAATCAACCGACCAGGAGGCTGTGAAGGGATCTATTTTTGTCTGCTGATCTACGCACCTCAATGACACGCAGCGTGCGTGGGCGGGCAGGGGTCAATAGTTTCTCACTGTCCAAGACCTTCACGAGGTCGACGCTGCTCTCCCAGCTCTTGAAACCACCCTCATAGACACCGGTCTTGACATCGTGGCTGCCAAGGCCTTCAGGTCCCTCCGCGGCATCGTCGTCCTCTGCCATGAGCTGGACCCTCACATCCCACAGCTCCCGCCGGGGAATCTCGACCACTTCCCCGCCGTCGAGAGTAACGTTCAGAATGCTGTATGCAATCTTGGAAGGCAGCTGCGCCAGCATATCTGCCAGGCGATGGCTGGTTGGTGAAAGCTGAGGCTTTCCTGGCACGGGGAAAGCGCTGGCGGTAGCTGGCTGCGAGGCCTTGATCTCGAGCTCGGGGGCGGGATCCCCATCTGCGCCATCAATGTCATCTCCCGCGAAGGAGAAGGAGAAGGAAGCCATGCCGATGATTTCGTGTTCCAGGGCTGCGAGGAATAAGCAGGGGCACAAGTGTCTACCCAAGGTACGTGAGTGGCAGTTTCAAAGAATTGAATATCACGTGGGGCGATGTGATCTGTGCGCCATGCCCTGACTGGTCAAGTTCCTGGTTCCAGATCTGCGATCCCACTGTTAGGCCCCCAAGTATTGAACCTCTCCGACAGCTTCATCATCTTCAAGCTCATTGCCTCATTTACGCGTCACTTTTCTTTACGAGCTACGCCAAAAAAAAATATAGTTGGCAGTTTACCAAGGGCGCTTCAGCTGTGCAGGGTCGATACTTGAAGGAAAGGTGGCAATGTAAGCGCGTTCGTCGCCATCGTCTTTCATGTGGGGGACCAACTGCCTGCTGCCCGTGATCGTCAACGGCACGGTGGCTCTCCGCTCAACTGCATGATCTGATCCATGGCCGAATCCATCGTCCAGATCAAATTGCATCTTGATGCTGAAGCTATCGGGCTTTCAAAGGAGTGACCTAATTACCTTTTGCCACTTTTCATGTGTTCCTTTAGCTCAAGAGCGTCTCTGATTCGCCTTGCAACGAGAAGCGAAAGGCTGAATCGTCCTTCAGCCCTTCCAACGCCATCTTTCCAGCTCCGTCCTCTTCCTCTGGACCAGGCGGCAGGCTTCAAGTCTGGCTTGGCGTTGCGGCGTGTCGATTGGCGAAGGATGGGCGCCCTACTGCTGCTCACTGCGCCGTACGGTACGTGAGCAAAAGCACATTGCATGGGCTCTCTGTGGCTGGCGCCAGTGGCCAACAACAGCATTAGTGATCGCCATTACCATGGCCTGTACCGGGGATTTGGATCGGTGTTGGTGGCCCTGCTACTGGCGATGAGACCGGTCCAGCGCCACGGCGGGTGCGTGATACCCAGATGATTTAGACTGCACGTCTGTTTTCTGCGACAAGTTGCACCTAGGAACATTGTCGAATCCAGCGTTGATCCCTGTGCCAGGATGCTCCGCGCAGGCTTTGCTCTCCGTTCCTTGTCCAGAGCAGCTCTCCCGACAAATGGCCTGGTCCATGACAAAGCTTGTCGACGTTAGCTCGCCCGAAGTTCCTTCATTGTGGTTGGGTGCTTTACGACCACTATGCCCCATAGCCCGCCGAGGCTCGCAACTCAGGATCAACGACAGCTTCTCTCGACTCCTTGCATCGCGCGGTCGTTGAGGCCAGAGCATAACGGAACTGGGAGCTAGCCTCGTGGCATTGCTGCCAATTCTTAACAAGTCGCATCTCCTTCTCTTGTACCGGGTAGTCATCCCAGAAATATGGTTGGTCATGGCCAGGCTGGCCCAAATGAGGTACCAACCTGCGGTGACCAGTGGACTGCCGTCTTTCCTGTGGCGTGTCGAGGTACATGCGACAGGCAGCACACAGCGCAAGACACGCACCAGCTTCGACGGCGGTCATACATGAGGTACACACCTTGCGAGAAGCGCGAAGCCCCCCTTCTCCTCCACCCCCCCCCCGAGCATCGTATATCAGCCAACAATGGCGTTCGCTGTGGGGTCGCATCCCCCACGATTCAACAACGTCTCCATCTTTGCTCGTTTGTCAAGCCTGTCCATCTACCTGCCTCTCTGCCGTCTTCTCGCATTCGGCCACTCGCAAGCTCTCCAAGACGAGTCAAATGCGACATGTCAAGCTGCACGCCCTTGTCGACCAGTACATGGTACTGCAACGCTTGAGCCAAGGGAGCGGACCCCATTCATTCCTGCTTCCCTCCAACGCCGTGAGAAGTAGCTTGACCGAGACGGCTCGCTCGCTCGCTTGCTTTGTTTGCTTGCTCCTGTAGCCCAAGATTTTGGCCTGCTGAACCGTGCGGGTGCGGTTCGCCTCGCCACCGAACGACGCAACGCAAGGCCTTGCGCTCTCGTGTGCTCTTTACGAGTTTGATGCGGCTGTTCGAGTGGATACCGAACCGGGGGAGGGGGGGTTCCCATGACGCCGCCGTCATGCTCGCATATCGCTTGTCTCATCCAGATCTTTGATACCAGCCGTGCTAGCTTCAGGGTGCCTCGGCCGAAGAAAAGAAGGTCTTTTTTGAACCGTAGGCGTGGGAGAGAGAAGCGTGCGACTCTCCACACCATCCAATCCCTGTCCTAGCCATTTGCCCCAGATGTATGGATGCCGGGAGGAGCGGGAGTAGTCCAGCGGCCGTCTTGGTTCTGGATGAACTGAATGAATGGCCGACTGCCTTTGCTTGGCAAGGGCCCCAACCTTCGTCACGGCTATAATAAGTCTCGTCCACCGTCCCTGCCGCTGACCTGTCTCAAGCACCTTCACTTCATCGACCTCGGCCATATTGAATCGCTGTGCCTTCCTCGTACAGAGTGTTCCTCCTTCCCCTTGAGTCTTCGAAAACGTGCCGACTCGGGTTCGGGCAGCGACGACGGACAGCTAGTTCCGTTGCCGTCTTACGACCTTTGACTGAGCCTCGCTCTGCGACCCTCCGCCTCGTCTCAACCTCTCTTTCCTTTTCGGGCCCCGCTTCAATACTGACCACCATCTTCAACTCCGACCATGACACGTCAAACTGTTCCCAACCTCTCCCGTCACACCGACCTCACCGGTAACAGTCACGGCGCCGGTTCTGCTCCTGCATCCGCACCCGTCCGCAGCGGCCATGTTCCGTACAACGTCCGGGAGGCACCCTTCGGAGCGCCCAAGCATCTCCGCATCGTAACCATCGGCGCCGGAGCCAGCGGCCTCAACATGATCCGGACCTTGCGCAACACCCTGCCGCCCTCCTCCTTCGACAATGTCGTGTACGAAAAGAACGCGGACATCGGGGGCACCTGGTTCGAGAACCGCTACCCGGGCTGCAAGTGTGACGTGCCGTCTCATAATTACCAGTTCTCCTGGAGGAAGAACCCCGAATGGTCCAGCTTCTTCGCGGCGGCCGGCGAGATCGAGGCCTACCTATGCAAGCTGTGCGACGACGAGGGCATGCGTGCGGCGATCAAGACGTCGCACAAGATCCTGGGAGCCGCCTGGTCTGAACCGAAGGCTATCTGGGAGCTGCAAGTTCAGAACTTGACGACGGGTGACACCTTCTCCGATTACGCCAACTTCCTCATCGATGCCTCCGGCATTCTAAAGTAGGTCGACGGTTGTACACCCGTGGAGAAATGTAACTAACAATACGGTCAGCAAGTGGAAGTGGCCCAGCGTACCGGGTGTCAAAGATTTCAAGGGCGCTCTCGTTCACACAGCAGCATGGCCTGAAAACTTTGACTTCAAGGACAAGACCGTTGCTGTTATCGGCAACGGCGCGTCCGGCGTCCAGGTTCTGCCAGCGATTTTGCCTCGTGAGTGAATGCAGCCAAGCAGTGTTAGTGCGGCACCTGCTAACAGAACCAGATGTCAAGAAGCTCCACCACCTCATCCGCTCTCCCACTGCCATTCTACCCCCTAGGATAGCTACTATGAAGATGGGTCGCGCCGCTCCCATCATCAACCAGATTGGGCTTGATGAGCAGGAGAACTTTACTCCCGCCCAGATCGAACGGTTCAAGTCTGATCCCGCCTTTCTCGAGCAATTCACCCAGGCTCTCGAGATGGACTCGAACATCAAGTTCGCCATTGCTTTGATGAAAGACAGCCCCCAGCAGCAATGGGCTGCAGGCAAGGTCCGCGAATTCATGACTGCCATGCTTAGGGGAAACGAGAAGCTGTGCCAGCAGCTGATTCCAGACTTTCCCCTGGGATGCCGCCGCATGACTCCTGCCCCAGGCTACCTCGAGTCGTTCCATGACCCAAAGGTCTCGCTGGTCACGACCTCGATTAAGCGATTCGTTCCTCAGGGCATCGAGCTGGAGACGGGCGAGCTGATTGAAGTGGATGCAATTATATGCGCCACAGGCTTCGACTCTTCGTTCAAGCCCCCTTTCTCCTTGGTTGGCAGGCACGGCAACTTGCAAGATATCTGGACCGTGGAGACGCCCAAGTCCTACATGTCTCTTGCTGTCGCTGGCCTGCCCAATTACTTCAGTCAGTTGAACCCCTCTTGTTGTCTGTCCGATATCCAACTGACACCCGACACAGAATTCCTCGGACCGTATGCCCCAATTGCCCACGGCGACGTTTTCACCCTGTCGGAACACATTGCAACGTACATCGCAAACCTTATCAACAAGGCGCAGTCGGAGAACATTCGCTCCCTGGCACCCTCTCAGGCTGCTGTCGACGACTTTGCTGCTCACGTGGCGGCGTTCATGCCCCGTACCGCCTTCTCTGGCAGCTGTCGCAGCTGGTACAAGCAGGACGAGGCTGGTACGGCCGCACCAGTCGTGGGTCTGCACCCCGGAAGCCGCATGCACTTCATCTCCATGCTTGCGCGGTTCAGGGGAGAGGACTGGGAATTCGCGTACGAGAACGAAAGCAGCGCAGCCAAGGCCAACAGGTTCGCGTATCTGGGCAACGGCTTTACGATGCAGGAGGCGGCCCTCTTGAAGGCGGCGGCTGCCGCCGCTGCAGCTTCTGCTGCTGCGTCTGGGAATTGATGTTCGGTGGAGAGGACGTGACAGACATCGTGGCAGAGAACTGAATAGACTGCAGCACAAAAGAAAGGGCGCTGCGAGGGGGGGGGGAGCGGGAGGGGGCCATGTCCTTTTGGGTGGATTCGCTGGCGTTGCTTCGGTCGGTCCGCTTTGTTTAGAGGTATCAGCGCCAGGCGGCATGCGAACGAAAGCTGCTGCTGCTGTCGCGGTTAATGAAGTTACGGTCTATGAATGCGTTGTCCATGCTGCGTATGGCCTCGAGTCCAGTGTCGCTCCCAACGTGCACCACTTGAGAAACACATGATGACATGGCTTCCTTGCACACAACAGTGCGCACATGGATAGGCTCGTATAGGGTGTGTGTTAGTCTCGGCTTTGGATGAACTGAATCACTAATGCAAAGGCACGAAATATGAAAAATATGTTTTGATTGATTTCTCTCGATGATCCACGCCCGACCAGACTTCACGCCCTTTCCCATCCTGGCCAGTGGTCCTCCGAATTATCACCCTGATCAACCTTCTCCCAAACCCCATTTTCTTCCTCGCAAAGAAAATCCAGCCCACCCAGTGGCATAACACAAGCTTAGAGTTCACATGTCATTGAAGACACAATGAGGCGAAAAAAAAGGACTAGTCAAAAGAAAAAAAAAGAAAAAAAAGGGAGAGATCATCAATTGACATCTGATTTGCAGCGCCAACGGGGTTATAAAAAAAAAGGTATCTGTGTGGAGAAGCGAAGAGACAACATGGGAATTACGCGCAAGGACGATCGAACCCTGAAAACCCGAGGAGGGCCCCAAGAAAATGGCAGCAGCAAAAAGTACAACAAAATTGGCCATCCATCTGACAAACCTCGCCCTCATCTTACGCGGGGGTACCCTCGCGGCTCCTGCTCTCCCTCTTACTCAGGAAGCTCCTCCGCATGGTCGACCGCGGGCTGTCCGGCTCCTGCGGCGTCGGGGTAAATGTGCTCTTGACAGTGACGGTGCCGCCACCGGCCTTGAGGACCCTCTCGGCACCGCTGCCAGAGTCGTCGACGACATAGGGCACATCACCGAGGTCGTCGTCGCTTCGGAACGTCCTGTCGCCCTTGACCTCGATCTTGAACTGGGTGTCGGGTGTGCAGGTCCACTTGAAAGACTCGTTGAACTGGATTTCGCCGCTCGGCTCCTTGTGCTTCTCCGTCTTACCGACCGTCTTATGCTTGGGCGTGAGTTGGTGAATGACGACGTAGACCTCCGACGCGGGTGGGTAACCGGACGTGGAGACGATGCTAAAGACAGCCGTGCCAGACCCGGGCGACGCTCCGTTTGTGCTATAAATGGATGCCGCACCAGAGCTTCTGTTTCTGCTATGTCCGAGAGTAGCGCCATTGGCAGTACCAGGAGGAGTGCTGATCGGTGACTCATTGCCATCGGGGACGGGCCCCGAACGCTTCAAGCCGTTCCCATTTTCTGTAATGGTCGGAGTGTCGTAGGCCGTGGCCGTGTTCCTATCTTCGTCGTCCTTCTTGCTCCTCGAGAAGACGTTGCGAACCAAGCCCCCCACACCGGAACCGACAGCTCCAGCTGCCTTGACGGGTGCCCCGGCAACGCCGGTGACGATGCGTCCAGGCACAGCAAAGGTTCCAGAGAAGGTTGATGTGCCCTGCCGAGTGCGTGCCACGTACGCGGGGCGGAAGAGCAACCTCAGGCGCACGACGCCTGACTTGCCATCCAGGAGGAGTTTCGTCTCGCTTGGCTTGAAAGGATCGATGTGCTCCAGATTGATATCAGCAGAGCCGAGGAGATCCGGCTTGTCAGCAAAGTCGTAGTCCCAGATGACAACTTTGAAGTCGGCACCTGTACGCGACGGCACGGGGACCTCGAAGAATTCGTTCCATACAGGGTGCAGAGTCTTCTTCTGCACCTTCGTCTTGTATACCTCCTCTCCATTGAGCTCGAACTTGCAGTATGGGTCACTTTTGCCGTTGCGGTCGGCCGATGGAAGATCTTCGGCGTCAAGGACGTCGACGCGCAGGGTGCCCATGTTGTTGATACTCTCGCTAGGATCGAGCTTCATCTTGACCGGGATGTACTTCAGGCTGACCTTGACGTTGCTGGGACGGCCATCCTTATCGGTCAGCTTCAGCATGGTCGGGTTGTTCTACAGCATGTTAGTTACGGACCCATATCGGCAGCATTCTGGGGGCAAAAACTCACCAGGCACTGCTTCAGAGTGTCCAGAGTGTTGCCTTGCAACTTGGCAATGGTGCTCTCCTTGTCCTTCTCATTTCCTTCGACGGCCTGGCCCTTCTCGCGGACTTTGAGAGTCAGACGTGAGAAATCGATCTCGCGAATGAAGCAGTCACCAATCTCGTCAAACTTGTGCTTCTTGTGCTTGGCAGCGGACGAGATGTACGAGGGGAACGCCATGTCATCAACCCACACTTCCAGGTGAGTGTTGCTCTCCGGCATCTCGGCTTCCATCAACTTGAAGATGAGCAAGCCAGTCTCATATTTGAGCAGCTGCTCAGGAGACAGATGAATCTTTGGCGGTCCTTCTGACTCCTTTGACTTTCTTGTGGAGGTAGGCGTCAACGGAACAAGGGCCGAGCTGTCATCTCCTTCCGACGCTTTCTGCGACTTGTTGTCCAACGTGGAGCTGAACTTGCCAGCAGTTGCAGATCGTGCAAGGGGCTCCGGTTCGCCGGCTTCAGCCTCTGGCTTCGTCTCCTTTGCCTCTTCCTCCTCTTCCTCGGGGTCGGCAACGTTGAGGGTGGGATAGAAGGAGACATTGTGGATAAGGAGACCCTTCGCAATGCCCTTGCCATGGAGTTTAAGCCCAGCCTCCTTGATCGTCTTCTGATCATGAACAAGGTATTCGCCGTGCTCGTCTTGAAGATGTAATCGCCTGCCGCAACCTCAATCTGACCCAGACTACGGTCCTTGCCCATCTTCTCCGAGTCCATGACCTCCATGGTCAGTTTCTCTCGGTTAGAGTGCACCGGCACGTAGAGAACTCGTCCCAATCAGGGTCAAGTGTGTTCCTGTGAGTGACGGTACGGGCCTTTTCAATGCCTGACAACAGGACACGGACGTAAGGGTCAGACTTGCCAAGAGTCTCAAAGTTGCGCAGGTCGCGGGCGCCCCTAAAGTAAAAACGCATGACGCCGATGGGTGTCACGTAGCCGCCTGTACCAGAGAGCACGCCAGAAATAGCGACGGGCTTCCACTGTGCCATCATCTTGACACGGCCTGTGGAGGCTCCAGCCAGGTGGAACCACTCCTGACCCTTCTCCTTGCACTCCAGGATGTCCTCAAGCTTGATCTGATATTTGCCAATAACCTGGTCGCCAGTGATGTCGCGATCGTCCTTGATAGTAACGCCGAGCTTCGCGTGCTTCTTGTCGGTAATAAGCATCTCCTTGGACCCGTTGTCCCAGATCGGATTGTTCGTTCGCTTGAGTTTTTTGGTGTTGTGCACGTCGCGACCGTTCAGGTGGAGGGTGGCATAGGGGTTCAGGAGACCAACCAGGCTCTTGGTGCCATCGAGGTCTTTGGCCTGCTCGACGGTGAATCGCAGAATACCAGTGTTCGATTCTGGGGGAGGCTCCTCAGAGCCATCCTCCAGCTTGGTCGATTCCAAAACTGGGAAGAAGCGAACGTCAATGGAGACCTGGCCACGGTTCTTGCCGTCAGCAAAGATGTCGAGTCGCTCGTTCTCGTGCACATTGAGCTCCTCCACCTGGTCCAGAGGGAACGATGCTACACCAAGCTCCTTGTGCTTTCTGAAGTCGTTGTAATCGAAAACCTGAATGTCCAGAGAGTCGGTGAAGGATGTGATGATAATGTAGTGAGTTTCGTTCCAGCGAGGGTTCGAGGTGTCACTGATGTGCTTTGTACGCGCCAGCTCTTGCCTCCTGTTCAAGCTGAGAACGGCATACGGATCGATGTCGCCGGCGAAGCGATCAGAGTTCTTCAATCCTTGAGCTCCGTGCAGCGTAACAGCCAAAACACCGATCGCTTGGTCAACAGGCGTGCCGGCAAGCATCTTCGCAACCTCAATGGGGAAGACGTTGGGTGCGTACATCATCGGTGCCAGGTTTCCGTGAATCTGCTCCAGGATGAAGGTCTCCAAGCCGGGAATGAAGTTGATGTCGAAGCCGAACGTCTCACCGCCAAGAGGCTTGCAGACGTAGTCGATAGTGGGCCTCTCGAGGAAGCACATCTCGACCTTCTCCACGTGGGGAAAGGGGATCTGCAGCTTGATCTTCAGTCGCATGATGCCCGAGAAGGCCATGTCCTCGACAATTACATCGAGACCTTTGCTGATCATGGCCTTGCCGACTCGGATTTCGAGAACGACTTTGGGGTTGATCTTGCTCTTGATCTGCTTCGAGGTCATGTCGGCGGTATCGTTCGGTGTGAAGCTGAATTTCCAGTCCATCATGACAATGTCGTCTTCGGCCTTGGGGTACGTCTTGACGTGCTCCATGCGAGGCGGCTTGGAGCCGAGTGTGAACGTCTTGAGCTTCAGGCTGTCGAGGAATGCGGGGGTCGCCGAGCTCAGGACCTGATCGACCGAGTTGATGATGGTCTGCGCAAGAACCGGCTGGTAAATGGGCCAGAATTTGAGGAGGAACGAGTTGATCCTTTCGAGCGACTCGTGATCGTTGTCAAGCTTCTTAAGCTGTATCTCCCCAATTGATGTCCTTCGCGGAAGTTTCGACGAACGCGACCGAAGCGAAGTGCGGTTATTAGGTCGAACACGCTGCCATGATCCATGAAGACCCAGCCGAGACCCACCTCCCGAGAACTGCACCGAGCCAAGAGGAGATGCAGGCGAAGACGATTATGGCGGCCATTGTGGTACCAATTCTCCCGTAGAATTTTGTCGGGGACCTTGCCTTCGAGCCAGGTCGAGTGGTCCAGGAGACTCTTCGGCATTTTGAGTATTGTCGTTGGGCCAACCGAACTGGGGGGCCCCTCCTGTGCGCTCGTATGGCTTCTCGACATCACCACCAGGACCTGCGCCGTCCTCGATGACGTTGCCGTCGGCATCCTTGGGGACTTCGATGATGCCTTCTTTGCTGGGGGGTGGGAGATCAGCAGTCGGCCCGCTGTCTTCACCAGCTACATCGGTGACGACGGATACCCCGTGGGGTCGTTTGCTGTGGAAGCCCTCGGGGACGGCCTGGCGGAAGATGGTCAGCTCAGAGCCCGAGTTCATCGTAACCTGGGCCACGGACGGGGCCAAGCACGACTTTGAGAAGGGGGGGGGGGGTCAAGGACAACATACCTCTCGCGCCTGGCGGCGCTTCTCGTCAGGGCTCGCATCTGGGTCGAAAGTGAAGGCAGTGACGCCGGCCTTTTTCGACTCCTCGAGAATCTTCTTTTGCGCATCATCGGCGCTGACGGTGCTCTCGGGGTCCTGGGCGGCCTCGACGGCACCCTGGACCTTGAGCTCGTTCTTCTCGGCAGCCGTGGACATGGTAGTGGTGATCTGGCGAGTCAATTGACAAGGTGTCTAGCTTGCTGGCGCGTGACGGCGCATGCGGCGCGGGTTGTCGAGGGGTCAGGCTCGAAGGAGGCGGATCAATTGATGAAGTACAGACTGCTGGCGGGGCAGAGAGATCGCGGGGAAAGGGACGAAGGGAAAGAGAGCGGTCGCGATGGCAGGACGAGAAGAGAAGGAATGGTGGTGTAGCAAGTCTCCCAGCAGAAATGGTGATCGACGAGGGTCAGTCGATTGGCGGTGGCTGGACGGGCGGATCGGCTGGGTTAGGTTGGCGATAGTGGGTGAGCCTAGTTGGAAGGGAAGGCGTCTGCTAGTGTGGTGGTGGTGGAGGTGGTGGTGAGATAGCTGGTAGCTCTACAGAGCAGCCCACAGGGGAAGGAAGCTTGGTGCCCGTCCGTGTCTTGGGAACCTGGAACAGCCTGGAAGGAGAGGAGCAGGAGGGGGAAGGGACAAACAGCTAAGGGAAAGAGAGGCTCAGTTCTGGTCCAGGTAGGGCAAGAAGGGAGGGGGGCAGCAAGGCCAGATGAAGGCAAGAAGCAAGAAAGAGGGTTGAGCGGTGCCACACGTACGGTTAGGGTGAAGTGAAGGGTTGGGGCCCGGCTGGCGATGGATTGCGTGGTTTCCAGCTTCCACTGGACAGGTTCCAAGTCCCAAAAGTTGGAGCTGAGCTGTGCAGATTGCAGGTTGCAAAGCTGTCTGGAGCTCCCACTGCTCCCACTGGGGCTGTCTTGGCATGAGCGGACGGATAACGACGTAATGGGTTCAGCTCGACAGGCAAGGAATGGCCGGTCGTCTTTCCGTCCTGCCCACTTGGCGCTTTGCGGGTAGCGCAACGTAGCGGGGAGACCCTGGCTCCAGGCATCTCTCGCGCTAACGCTGCCACCGAACATGGGGTGGCAGGGCCCACTACGACGGGCAGTGTCTGGTCAGTGGTGGGCACCTACCTGTACCCAACCAGTCAGTGTAGTCACTGAGGTCACTGAAGTCACTCGTCATCCGTCGACTCAGCATCTACTGCCTCAGCTGGTCCTGTTACTCAAGAAGCTTCAGGTGCCCTCGAAGCTTTAGCTACCTTACCTACCTTACCTACCTTAGGCGCCTAGGCTTTGTTAGGTACCTAGGTAGGTAGGAAACGGGTACACCGAGCAATTTCCCACCTCATTTCTGACCCTCTCCAGCCATCTGTCTCAACACACCATCTATCTGACAATCTGTACAACTCTCTCGGGATTTGGAATCA